TGTAGCAATGGCAGGGCTGACCCAAGTCAGCAGGGGGTTGGATCAGTTCTTCTGAAAGCTTTACTTGACAATATGCCTCTTTTGCCTGCTGCTGCAACAGGCGGTATGTATACAAACTTTGTTGTCATAAAAATACACAGTACATTTGTTGTTTGGCATGTTTTATTGGGCTGTCTTGTGAAATAAGAATTAGGTAATTAGTTAGTAAAAACTGCTTCTTGGAGTGGACTGCTATATTGTATCCAAGTATGAAGTATGCATTTGTAGATACATAGATTTGTAGATTCATACATAGATTTATAGATTTGTAGATTCATACATAGATTTATAGATTTGTAGATTCATACATAGATTTATAGATTTGTACATAGAGGGTGTAATTTTAAGCAGATTAGCTAGCTTAGAACAGAGTACTAAGGCACTTAAAGATGTTCAGCAACCACACATTCTGTTGACTTTAGTGAGAGTCAGGATTGTCTGTTACTTCTGAAAATTAGAAGATTTATTCCAGGGAGCTTGGCTATCCAAATGATGGTTATCCAGCAGTCCAGTTATTTCTGCACCAAAAAGAAATTTTTAATTAAATTAAATTCCATCCTCCTCTGCAGAGTAATGGTATCTTAGGACCTTGTCGAAGCATTTTGAGTGCCAGATAGAATGGGAAGATTACTTCAGTACTCATATTTGGGGTGGCAAGACCTGCTTTGTGTTTTTCACAGTATGACATCATTGAACTGCGTCTAGCTTGGCATCACCAGGGGGTCTTGTAGGAAAGTTAGTTTGCAGTACAAAATGCTTGTTGTGCTACCATCCAGGTAGAAACAAGCTGTTGAGGGTCTGGAATGCTCGGGGAGAGTTGGAGGAGGAAGCCAAGGTTTGTGTTCCCATACAGAACCAATGCACTGTGCTCCCAGAACTGATTTGTGAAGGAAAGTGCCTCCAGCAAATAAAGAATAAGGAGACAGTAGCCGAAACCAGAGAAAGACTTGAATCTAGAGTATGGCTTGGCTCTGAAGGGGTTTGAACCCCTAGCTTAGCACCTTAGTGTATCAAGAGCATTTTGATTCTTGTGCTCAGTAGGAGCAGTGGGCAGAAACAATGAAAGAACTATGTGCAAAGCTGTCTGTTGGAAACCATTTTTTCTTCAGTTAGTTGATAAGAGATTTTGAAATGCTTGTGGGAACTAGTGATTACAGAATGATTCTAAACTGAAGTATCTCAAAAAAAGTGGAGGGGGAAAATGCTTCCTAGTCTGGATTCAGTTACCATTAGATAGTTCATTGATTATGCGTCAGTGTATTCTTTCTGAGTGGAAAACGCATATCATGTTTCACCTTGAATTATTTTTTTTTTTCCTTTTTTAAATGCAGGATCTGTGTATTGGTATTTTGTCTTGCTGAATTATGTAAAGGATGAAGATTTGGCAGGATGCAGTACAGCCTGTGCATCATTGCTAACTGCAGTGTCCCGACAGTTACAGGATCGCCTAACACCTATGGAAGCATTACTTCAAACAAGGTACTAAGAAATGTGGCAGTTGTAAACTTAATAAAAAAGAGCATAGGAACTAATGCCATCCTCTGGTGGTCTAAAAAAGGTTGGCTGTTTAAAATAGATGCATTTTTCCATATTTCTTGAGCAAGGATTAATTTGGTACAGCTCTGGAAAATAGTTTGGGCTTGCGCAAAGTTAAAGGTGAATTTAATTGTTACCTTGCAATTTACAGCGTGCTTTAAATCAGTAAATATCAGTAAATGTGTATGTAATGCTTGATGTCTGTGTAACCCTTAAATTAGTATTTGTGATTTTTCAGTGTAAGGATTAACAAAGCATGTCCTATTTTGAGTATGGAAGGGAATCATATGCACTGAATAGTTCCAGTTCTGCCTAACACTACACAAAATTGTAGTCTTTTTGTAAGCTGACCATACATTTAATGTATTTCTACCGAAGGCCAGATTTTAAGTGTAGAGACCTGCTGTAATTTACTAGGAATGCAAGTTCTTATTGTAAATTATATAGTGGTGTGATTTCAGCCTGTGATGTTGCATCTTTTACATAGGGACTGTAATGATAGGACAAGCGGTAATGGCTTCAAACTTAACCAGGGGAAGTTTAGATTAGATATATGGAAGAAGTTCTTTACAGTGAGGGTGAGGCACTGGAATGGGTTGCCCAAGGAAGTTGTGAATGCTCCGACCCTGGCGGTGTTCAAGGCCAGGTTGGACATAGCCTTGGGCGACACAGTTTAGTGCGAGGTGTCCCTGCTTATGGCAGGGGGGTTGGAACTAGATGAGATGATCTTAAGGTCCTTTCCAACCCAAACCATGCTGTGATTCATTCTATGATGTGGAACTGATTGGCCATTTAACTTTGGGCTTATGTGATACCTAAAGGAAATCTCTGGTGGTTCAGTTTTGTAGCAGTTTCCAAAGCCATATTACGATGATGGGAACATGCTGCTGTTAGACAGCTCTTTCAGTTGTGTGTGGGCAAGAGTTTTCCTCTAAATCCAGCAAGATCAAGGTAGAAGAGGTTTGGTAGATATTAGTTCAGACTCTTCAGATCAAAATGAAAATTTAATAAGCTAAGTTAGGGAGGGGGTGTTTATATCTTGTGGAGGGTTTTTTGTTAGTTTTTTAAAGAACTGTAATCCTAAAAGACTTGATAAAAACTGGATCCTTTTCATGCTCTCTACGACATTCATCTTTTCAGTTGTTACTTTATTTCGACATCTGTAATCTTGCAGTTGATTAGAAGACTTATTGCAGCAATAGAAATGGAGAATTTTGAAAATTGCACAGAGTTAACTGGAAAAATAAGAGGTTTTGTCTTTTCATGTTGAATTTTCTTTAGAAACCAGATAGAGGAGAAAAACATGGAAATTCCATATGACATGAGAGTGGCACCTTTCTTTAGGAATTGTCTCATTCCTTTATATAGCTTGTTTTCAAGTACCTCCTCTAAACAGCATATCTGAAATAGAAGGGTTTTTTTCCTTTCCAGTTGCCCCCTTCTGAGTTTGGTACATGTGACATTTCACATCAGTTAGTGGTGAACACAGCTGCCGGCGTCTCAAGGGAAGTTTTTTGAAGTGAGCCCCTGTTCTTGGCATCCTTCAAGCTTAGATTTTCTGAATGTTTCTAGATAGAGTTTTACTGATATTCTTCTTTGAACTAAATTTGCTTCCTCTTTTAGCTCAGTATCCCCATAGTTAGGAGAAGAATAGCACGAGACACAGAATTTACTGTCTTTTTCTTTATATGTCTACAGAGAAGAGAATACTGTAATTTCTTCTTTTTTTTTTCTTTTTTTTAAGTAGAAGATAAGTATTAATACCTTTCTTCTTTAAATTTTAATTTAGTAGGTAGCCATTGCTTTACTCTTTTTCCCTTCCCTCTCCCCGAGTTGTATTTTTTCATATGTGTGTGCATTTGTATTGCAGAGTTTCTTGTACAGGTTTTTCCTTCTTTGTTGTTGTTCCCAGGTACAGTAGCCTAATATTTGTTAATAAAATAAAAGCAGATGTCTGCTTAAAAGATCTGCACATTCATGTTGTCTTAAGGCAGAGTAGTACTCATTTTACTATTTTGTGCTGCAATGAAGCAAGTAAAACTTGCAAAGATAAGGCCAGATGGGTGTGTTACATGACTTGCAGTTCAGAGAACAACAAAAAAAGGAATTTCAGACAGTATTTTAGGCTGTCCCACAACAAAGCAGGTTGTTTTTTCTCTAGCAAATCTGACAAATTTCTCCAGCCTGTTCTTGAAAGCATCTGATTAAAGTAGCAATAGAATTTAATTATTCTAAATATTGTAAGCTATTACATAGCTTAATTGTTCTTATCATTAACACTTGAACTATTTCCTTCTGCCCATATCTAATCTGAAATATATTCTGCTGGAACTATTCCTTGAATTTTGGTACATAAAATTGTAAACATTGTTCCAGTTGAGATCACCGATGACTGAAACAGAAGAGATTTCACATAGCTTATATTCATTACTCCATAGATGAATAGGGTGATGGGGCTTTTTATGTGACATTGTTGATCCATTCTTTGGGGATTTTTATTAATGTAACTTCTATATCCTGTTCTGAAAAGTGTTGCTAATGCATTTTAAAACTGTGAACCTGATCATTCCTGCAGCTGAAAGATGAGTAAAAGGCACTGTGCTTACTTAAATATATTCTGTCCAGCCCAGGATTTATTTCACTTTCTGCAGTACATTCAAATTCTGATCCTATTCTACATAGGTCTTGTAAGCCCTTTTTACGTTTTATCACCTGCTTGCTTAATAAATGAAACTCTTCACTTAAATCATGCAAGTAATCACTTTTAATGTTGAGCTGACCTGATTCATTGAGCTTGTGAATCCGAGCTCTAAAACAGGCTGTGAAGGTACACTACTGAATTTTGTCTGAGCATTTTTGTGTGTTTAGTAACCACTTTACAGTAGCATGTTTGCCGCATGACCTTTTTTCATAAGCAAAGCATCAGTCTTCCTAGATGGATGGTATGAACTGTTCCTGTGTAGTACGTGCTTGTAGAGAGCAACCTGGATTCATCTAATACATGTTATTCTTAATATAAAGTTGTCATCTTAAATTTGCTACCTTGTTAGTTGCTTGTAAGCAATTATTGCCCTTTCTTATAACATCATTTTCTGACTAGTTACAGTCTTACTACTGGCAAAAAGCATGGAGCCCCGCCAATGTGAAAGCATTTCAACATTCAGACAAGTCTAGAGCCTGGTCTACCTTGTTGCTGATATTGTAGTATTCATGTAGACATTTATCCTCTTGTGACTACTTGGTCAAAAAAGACACTTAAGCACTCCAGCCTTCTCAGTGTTACTTACTGGGGGCTTTCCTCGCCTGCTAAAGGACAGAGAAGCTGCTCCAAGGCAGAGAGAAAAGGGCGTTGAGGAACTTCGTGTTGCTGCTGATGTGTTCATGGAAGTATTTCATATTCTGGCTCTTACCAGTCAAAGCACAAAGTGTTAATGTTTCTCACTTTTCTATCTACACAGATGCATTCTTTCTTTCTAATCCTGTTTAGTAATTTGGCCTGACTTCCATTTTTTTTCTCCTCTTTTCAGTTGCTGTTAATAGGTATTGGTAGACAAAAGAACCCAATACTGATTCTTGTATTACTTCAAATTTTCCTTTTCTTGGCTTATAAAACCATAAATGACTGGGGACTACCTTGTTACCTGAGTGATTGTATTATTTTTTTCTACTGCCAGAGTAAGAGTAATAAGATTTTCTTCTGTTGAGATACTTAAAGTACTCATAAGTGCTGATTGGTATCCCTAGCAGCATTTCCTTTTTTCTTCTCACTATAGCTGGAAGGACAAGCTGAGATTGAATTTCTTTTGCTGTTTTGGAAAACAGTGATGTGTATTGTTGACTTTAGGTAAATGTCTGATTTACCATGTGCAGGCATGCATATTGCTGTGGCTAATTGTCCTAGGCTTGTAGTTCTAGTTTCCATGTCTGAGTGTGATTATGTGTCATGTCTCCAGGACAGTATTACATCTTTAGAACTACTTAGTAACAAAGACTTACTTATTTAGTTAGCATCATAAGCTATTTGAAAAGGTCACCTAATAAATAACTTTCATGAAATATTTGTAAATGGTAATTTCTAAGATATGTCAATTAAATGAAAAGAATTGTTTGGAATATAGTAAAACCTGATGATTAAATACTTGGCCTTTTTCTGTAAATGATCTTATATAAATTCTTATTGTTTGAGTAGTGCTGTTTGTCTTGTTTTGTTTGCAGATATGGATTATATAGTTCGCCTTTTGATCCGGTTCTGTTTGATTTGGAAATAAGTGGCTCTTCTTGTAAAAATGTATACAACAGCAGCATTGGAGTACAGTCAGATGAAATTGATTTATCTGATGTTCTATCAGGTATGAATGTTTTACAATTACCTATTGTGCAAGAATTAATAATTCTTTCTACTATACTATTTTCCTTTAGTGAGGATGGGATTTTATACTTGCCATCTGTTTTATAGCTGTACATAATGAAGTACAAGATATTCTTTGCATTGTGAGATCTCTTGCATTTCCTGTAGCCCTTAGGGCAAGAAAAAAATACTCTTTCTGGTATCTGTTCTTCTCTTGTCCTATAGAAGATCTAAGAAAAGGCTAAAGATTAAACAGGCTGCTGTCATTCCCTTGGTCAGAATCATCTAGGAAGCATCTATCCCTTCTATTGAGCAGCTTCCTTGAGATGTATTATTATTCATTTAAACTAGCAACCATCTCATAGACAGAGAAATCTAAATGGATTTTTCTGAAGTTGGGAAGCTGCCACATGGCAGTCTTTTACTTACATATTACAGATTTAATGAGATTTTTTTCTGTTTCAGACACATTAAAATACCTTGAAGCATATTTGTTCATAAGTGACTTTTGGCCTTAGAATGTCATAAGAATGAGCCAATTTTTACCTTTCAGGAAATTCTTTTCATAGCAAGCAAATTCATCAGTCATAGTGACTTCTTTCCTTGCCTTTTCTTTTCTGCTTTTGTCCATCTCCTTCTCATTTCCCTCCATACAGCACTGTGAATTTGTTAGTATATTGAGCAGTAGTCTAGTTTTTATACAAACTTGGTGTATGATCTTGGTCTGTTATTTTCTTTCTCTTCTTTCCAGTAGCATCAATATTATTTCAAGCTAATTTTCTCAGTGTGGAAAAAACAGATCACCATATATAATTTTATTCTGGAATTAAAAAGATTACACTATGCTGCTGCTGTCACATTTGTTAGTTTGACTTATGAAGATACTCTGCTCAGATTTGGCAGCAGTATCCATTTTAAAATATTCTTCCATTTATATTGTGGATGTGATAGTGTTAAGGTGTTTGTTCCACAAAGTGAAGTAATAAAATATGTGGATTATATTTAGTTGTCCTTTTCAGTTCTTCATGACTTGAAATGTCACTATCAAGAAAACATAAGCTCATTGTACAGATTTTTATTTCTCTTTCAGGAAATGGGAAAATAAGTAGTTGTGCAGCTGCCGAAGGTAGTTTTACTTCCCTGACTGGACTTCTGGAAGTTGAACCTCTGCACTTCACCTGTGTTTCAACAAGTGATGGAACTAGAATAGAAAGGGACGATGCAAGTACGTTTACTGGTATATACAATTTTTCATTTTTTCTACTTAGCATAGTTCCACAATACGGTATTTGTAATTGGACATAATGAACATTGTTTACCAAACAGATTGCCTGTTGTTTTATAAGTGTTGAAATGTGTTTTGGTTTTTTAAATAGTTGCTTTTTGTAGCTTAACGAACAAACTGGATTCTAAATTTATTAAATTGAATCAAATTTTTTCTGTCAAAGAGGATAACATACAAGCTTGCATCTTTACTTTGCAGCCTTGTGTGGCAAAAGAATTCCAGGGTATTAGGTGGCTTTTCTGTAATGAGAAAGTTGCATGTATCATGAGTGTGCATAGTCTATAAACCATATGCTTTGTAATTCAAGGTGATATTACTTTGTAGCAAGAACTGGATAAAAGATCTTCCTCATGGTTTTGTATGGCTTTTAACAATCAGTAAGGAATTAATTTAAAGGTGTGTTTTACCATTTATTTTCTACATACGTGTTTTTCTTCTGTTTTGTTTGCTTGCTTCATGCCAGTGAGTACCTTTGGGGTTACCCCAGCAGTTGGTGGCCTCTCTTCTGGAACAGTTGGGGAAGCCTCGACAGCACTGAGTTCCGCAGCCCAGGTAGCTTTGCAGTCTCTCTCTCATGCAATGGCCTCAGCCGAGCAACAGCTCCAGGTGCTGCAAGAGAAACAGCAGCAGCTTTTGAAGCTTCAGCAACAGGTTGGAGGCTATTTAGCTATTTTTTAATGCTGTCTCTAAACTTCAAAAGCTGAGAAAGTGGTCGCAGAGCTAGTCACTTTTTTTTTTTTCCCCCCATTTTCTTTTTTTCCTCCATAGTGTATTTGAGGAAGGAACAGCTCTGCACTGTTATTAATGCTGAGAGTGTCTCCCATGCTGCTTTGGTCTTTCTGACTTGTTTTTTGTTATTTTGAGGGTGGGTTGGGAGTTTGTAATCAAAGATCAAGTCTTAATACATAAGTTTATCAGTCTGAAAAAGCCCACTGAAGTGAGAAGTGCAAATGCTGACACAGGGAAGTACCAGTCATAAAGCCACTACCAGTATGAAGCTTGGCTGTGCTGGCCCTATTTTACTGTTCACTTGTAGGTTTTCTGGTTTTTGTTCTTTTGTGGTTTTTTTTTTATTTCTCCAGTTAATTACTCACGTTCCTCAGCAAGGGAGGTCAAATTAAATAGTGTTTCATTTTTCAGCTTACAGTTGGCTATATAATATGCCTGTTTTGAAGGTAGCTCGGATTTATTAAATTTAGTTTTATAATGAAAGTTGAAGTTCAATACTACTACTGTGTTCACAAGCAGTATTATCTGCTACATACTCTGCTTTAATTTTTCCCACAGAAAGCTAAGCTGGAAGCAAAACTGCATCAGACAACAGCAGCAGCGGCAGCAGCAGCATCAGCAGTTGGTCCTGTTCACAACTCTGTGCCTTCTAATCCAGTAGCAGCCCCAGGGTTCTTCATCCATCCTTCAGATGTCATTCCACCCACACCAAAAACAACTCCCCTATTCATGACTCCACCTTTGACTCCACCTAACGAGGCAGTTTCTGCTGTTATTAATGCAGAACTTGCTCAGCTTTTCCCTGGTTCAGTCATCGATCCCCCAACAGTTAACCTTGCAGCACATAACAAAAATACAAGCAAGTCCAGAACGGTAATTATTTTTGTTTGCTTTTTCTTAGAGAAACAAAATGCCTTATCAGGATCTAATTTGTACTTGAGTGCTAGCAAAAATCTGTTGATTTGGATGAGATGTGAAATCTACATCACTAAATTTAGACTACATGAAAAGGAAGACTTATGAAAGCAAGATGGAGTTGTTAATAGTACCTCAAATGGTTTCTTTTAATTGGAGCTAGCTTAACTGTATAAGGAATTATTAATCCTTTGAACTTAGTGGTTAATGTAGCGAGATGTTGTCAAAATTGTACATCTTTAAATCACAAGAGGTTTTCTTAGTCTTTTGAAAGAACAGATTATAAATTCATAGATTTTAATGACTTAATTTTATTGATGTTTTCCCACTCCTCAGAATCCACTCGGATCTGGTCTTGCCCTTGCAATATCTCACGCTTCACATTTTCTTCAGCCTCCACCTCATCAGTCAATTATTATAGAGCGAATGCACTCAGGTAAAAACAGAATTCCTAATAACAATTTTGACACATTTTCTAGTAAGTGGAATGTGTTCCAGAGTGTTGAGTAAGTTGCTTAGCTGCAGTGTCACTTAGCTTTCCAAAGAAAAGGTATTTCTCAGTTTGCATTTCTGTTGTATCTGGAAGTTTACGACCCAACATTCAGTGATGTTTATCAAGGTAAAAAAGTCCTGGGGGCTGAGGGAATATGTTGGGTCTCTGGACAGAGAACCTATTCTGAAGTGTAACAACTTCAAACTAGTTGAAGCTAAAATTTGTTTTCGAAGTGTGCAAGGTCTAGTGAGATATTCTGAGATCGTGCACCTATTTTTAGCCTTAAATATACATCTTTTGAACAATATGTAGACAATGGCTTTATTGTTTGTGAAGTAACATCTCTGCGGGTTAGCACACACTGGTGTTTTAGGCCATCCTGCATTTTTTCTCTAGGAGCAAGAAGGTTCGTGACCTTAGATTTTGGAAGACCTATACTGCTGACAGATGTATTGATTCCCACTTGCGGAGATTTGGCTTCTTTGTCAATTGATATCTGGACTTTGGGAGAAGAAGTGGATGGAAGGCGACTGGTAGTGGCTACTGACATTAGCACGCATTCACTTATTCTACATGACTTGTTACCACCCCCAGTTTGCAGGTTTATGAAGGTAAAAGTTGATACAGACTGCATACTCTTTTTTGAACTCTTGATCTTTGCTAGTATATGAACTTTCTCTTAAGTTCTCTTTAGACCAAACTTTAGTTGGCTGTATTTTTTTTTTAATGAATTCTTTACTTTGTTAGTTTTTCCTGTTTTGATACAATTGTGTTACAGTATAGTTGTGTTGTCTTTCAGATCACTGTTATTGGTCGATATGGTAGCACAAATGCCAGAGCAAAAATCCCATTAGGATTTTATTATGGCCATACCTATATCTTACCCTTTGAAAATGACTTGAAACTAATGCACGACCCCCTCAGAGAAGGTGAAGCTGCAAATCAACCAGAAATTGACCAACATTTGGCAATGATGATTGCATTGCAAGAAGACATACAATGCAGGTTAGAAGAAAAAAATATGTGTACTTACTGGTTATTTGAACTTAAAATACTGGGATATCATAATGTTATAGATGTATTTTTACTTTTTTCTTCCCATGGTATTTTTCAGATGAAAGAAGACTCTGCCTTTGTTATAGAGTTGTACCAGTGACTATCTTTTATAGCAGTAATAAAGACTACAGTGTATTTATTTCAGTATCTGTTTTAACAGTGCATTCAAAATGGCCCAGAGGTTGTCTTCTGGCAGGATTACTAAAATGTTTTGCCATTTGCTGGTATCTGTTGAATTGTCTGTTGGACTGTTTCCCTTTAGGTACAATTTGGCCTGTCACCGGTTAGAAATCCTTCTGCAGAGTATTGACCTGCCACCACTCAATAGTGCTAACAATGCCCAATACTTTTTACGAAAGCCAGATAAGGCAGTAGAAGAAGATAGCAGAGTATTTTCTGCTTACCAGGACTGCATTCAGCTACAGCTTCAACTCAACTTGGCTCACCATGCTGTTCAGAGGCTCAAAGTAGCTTTAGGCGCAAGCAGGAAAACACTGAAAGAGCAATCTGATCCAAAAGAGTTGATTCAGATGTCATCTACAGAACAGTTACGCACCATCATTAGATATTTACTGGATACCTTGCTTAGTTTGCTTCACTCTTCCAACGGTTAGTATTCTTTGAAGTCGTGATACTTCTGTCACATTAGCAACAACAGTTTGCAAGTGTTTCTACTTCTTGATCCGTACTTGCCCACTATAAAGCCTTTATGCTATGTTCAGATATGTTTTAATGTTATTTTAGTAGCTGGTAATATATAGTGCAAAGGTTCGCCAGTGGATTATCTGTGCACTTCCTGCTCCCAAAAAGGATAAGAGAGGGTGTTGAGGTCCTTCTCCCTTTTCTGTAGTCCTGGCTGTGTATTCCTTTGTTCAGACACTCATCTAATCCCTTTGTGGACTAATTCAGTTTGCTGAAGTAAAAAAAGACTGCCCAGGCAGAATATTCAAGTTGTTTTTATAGGCAGAAGCAGCTTGTGGAAGAATCCATGAGGATCGAAGCCTGTGTAGCACTTGGGTTAGGTTAGGCAGTTAGAAGTGGGGAGGTGAAGCAGAAAGTGCTCGGGGTGGGGTGTGTGTGTGGGGGGGAAGTAATAAATCCAGTATCTCCACACAGTTCATGGTTTTTAATATCCAGTAAGGATTTTTATTTCCTAAAGTTGCTATCAAAAGAGTTCTTGAAGAATCAGGATTGAAGTCTGAGTAGGAATGGTGGGTTTTGTTTTGCTTTGGAAAAATAAAGGCAAAACATTGTTACATTGCTCTGTTGCTAGATAGCTGTGGCTGTGTCCTGATTTTCTCTGCCAGTTTGTGCTTAAGCAAAACTATAGTTTGTTTTTTTTCCTTTGAGTAGATTCTATGGGAGTGTTTGCACAGACATGAAATGGATTTGGTTTTGACCAAATGGCTTGGTCTTTCTGGGTTACCTGCAAATTGCCGTCTCCCCAATGTGTTCCCTCCTCCTTCCCCCCTGTGCCAATTAGTCTAGTCTTAACAGTGTTTAAAACTTCCTGCAAACTTTCTCCTCCTATGTTTTGAAGCCATTGTCTCCTTAAACTTGTTGCTCCTTTTCTTCAAAGGGCACTCTGTTCCTGTGGTTTTGCAAAGTACTTTCCATGCTCAAGCTTGTGAAGAATTATTTAAACACCTATGTATCAGTGGAACCCCAAAGATACGATTGCATACTGGCCTTCTGCTTGTTCAGCTCTGCGGAGGAGAAAGATGGTGGGGTCAGTTTCTTTCAAATGTACTGCAAGAATTATACAATTCAGAGCAACTTCTCATATTCCCACAAGACAGGTAAGCTGTAAGTCTATATTGATGTGTTACCTTTGGATCACTTCAATAATTCTGTTGTTCATAGCGCTGGAATTGACAAAATGTGGCTGAAGGATATTTATCCATCTCTATTCCATTGATTTAAGAAATAGTCCCCAAAAGCCCTGCAAATGATAAATGTGTGATTGCAGTTACTTATTGCACCTATTTGGAGCTTGCATCACTATAAGTTGCTCTTTTTCCTTACCTGGAGATCTTTGCATATCTAGCAACATTGCTCCTCAAGTGTCAAAAATTGCCTTTTGCTTTACCAGGCTTAAGTGCACCCTCATGGTAGAGCTGCTCTTCTAATGTGTTTGGAAGTAGGGTTGAGACTGAAAGCATACTATTAGCATTTAGTACAGAGGAGTTCTCTGAGATAAGAGCAAACAAACGTAGAGTTGATCATTGAACATTAGATGCGTTGATTGTTTCAGGTTATTGATTGAGGTCTTTGATATTATAAACATTAGCGTTTATTTTAATCTTTTTTTTATTTATTTTAGTCATATTTGCTGTTTTGTGGCCTTTGCCTTATTTGGACAGCAGTATTTATATTTTCATTATTTTTTGACATTAATTATTTCAAGGATACAAGACTACATGGATTTATTTCTCTATCCCTGCTATTCAGTATATCATATCTAATAGGAGATAAAGCGGATGAGATCTCATGTCAGATGTACAAAGTGGAATGCTCTGCTGACCTCTTGAGGATTAAAGAGAAAATGTTCACCCTAAACCACTGCATTATCCTTTCAACAATAGAATGTGAAATCCATTTCAGTTGCTAGGCCCATAGTACTGCTTTCGATAGCAATCTGCTTGTGTCTCAGATGAAAGCCTAGGGGAATATAGTTCTGTAAGGGGTGTTTCAGGATATTACGGGATCTGAAAAAGAAAATCTTAAATATGTAAATTTTATTTTTAGGGTCTTCATGTTGCTTTCTTGCATTGGCCAAAGATCACTTAGCAACAGTGGTGTTTTAGAAAGTTTACTTAATCTCCTGGATAACCTGCTGTCACCACTGCAACCTCATTTGCCTGTGCACAGAAGAACTGAAGGTAGCCCTCTAATTTGGGAATGTATATTTTCGTATTCATTATAAGCGAGAAAATTGAGAGACTAGCTCACAATTTTTGGTATATTAAAAGAAGAAATTGCTTGGTTACTATATTTCCAAAACACAGTTGTCTTTAAAAATGTGTTGAAACTTCTTGTTCTTTAGGTGCTAAAAGATATTCCTCCCCTCATCCCCACTTAAACCCGTGCAAAGTCTATTTGGTTGCTTTTAATTCAGCTAGGAAGCTTTAAAGTTTTAACCAAGTTGGGGGAATATCCAATGTGTAAAAAGCTCTGGTCACTTTAGTGAATAACTTTGGAATCTAGCATTTTGGGAAGAAGTGCCTGTTTCTGCTCTGGAGATCCTAAGTTTCAAGCTTTTGAGGTGAAATGTGGTTATGAAGACAAGTTTGTTAGGTGTATCTGTGAGGTTTCTGCAAACTACGTGGGTTTTTTTGTAATCACAAGGAGCTTTTTCTTTTTACCCTAAAAAAAAAATAGTGAAATTCTCCCAACTTGATTTTCTTTGAGTGTTTTCTTAACCACCCTGACGTTGAAGAAAATGCTTGCTTTTGAAAACCTCAGACTCTAGGCTACTTCATCTGTTATGTACATGTAGCAGAGCATTGTAGAAGATAGGTTGTTGAGAATTCTTGGCCTTGTGAAGTTAGTAAATGCCAGCTGAGACTCTCCTTACTTTTTATCTTGTCTCCTGATGGAAACAAGCCTACAGCTGGTGTCAGAAGCTGTGCTATTGCTTCCCATTGGCCTACCTTGTACTTTATCATGGCCATATCCTGCTGTAGTCTCTAACTAGTTTGAGACAAACTCAAGCTTACATCTCCTCTACCTCTGTTTGCGCTCTCCCCACAGCTGCCAATTCCTTTCATAGCTCTTGCCTTACTAGTTGTCCTCACGGAGGACTTTAGGAAGCAGAAGTAACTGATACTTCAGAACTTTATTTGCTGGTCTTCCAGCTTCCTTCCTCCTGGACAGTACAGGTGAGTACTAGGGCATTATTATGTGTAGTGGAAGCATCAGGTGCGGCAGAAGAAATCGCTTCTTGAGAGCTGTCATGAATAACTGAGCATCAAAGGGGGAAAACTTAATGGGGAAAAAGTCAGAAAAGAAAAGGACAATCAGAGCAAGAGGTGAGTGTTGTGGGTAGAGAGAAGTTGTAAACGTTGAGGCAGAGAGGGGGGAAAGGAGTAAGCAAAAGATACTTGAAGGGAGGGAGAGAAACTGAAAATTTCTATTTATTTACTTAAGAGAGAGAGAAAAAGGGAAGAAATGCACTTATTTAGACAGAAGTATGAAAGGGTATATACTTCACCCTGCAGCTGGCCTCCCCCTTTTTTTTTTTTCTGCCAACCTAAAAAGTGTGTAGCACTCACCAGTGCTACTCATTTTTATTCTTGCAATTTAGTCAGCAGTTCCTGTTCAGGTGCTATTATGGAGAGGTCTCCTGTTCCACTGCCTGCTTGGAGCGGTCTGCTTTCTGCCAGTGTGGACAGGAAACTGGAATTAAGTCAGGGCCTTTATCCTATTGCTCGGGCTGACAGCACCTACATGTGATTTTGGACAAGGCATTTCTGTGCCTTAGTGCCTTAGTTTCCTTGTTTGATCTGGAGTTAATAATAGCTTGAGATAATTAAAAGTTTTTTTGAGGTCAATGAATGAAAAGTGTAGTGTAGTTAAATGTGGCTCTCAGCACAGTTCACAGATTTGAAAATCTCTGTGCAGCCTCTAGAACTGATGACTTTAGTGTGTTGACATGATGTATAAGTATGCCATTTGTATAATGGCTGTGAGTACGTGGTCATTAGTTGCAGGTTTCTGGTCTTTATTGAACACTCATTAGTTCACTTTAGAACTGTTCATTTAGATTTGCACACAAAGATTTTTCTTGCATGATATGCAAGATGTAGGGAGGTTTCTGCCTATACAAAAAATACTGCATTTAATGTGTGAAATTGAAATAGGCAATAGCCAGTCCTTAGTGCTGCCAGCATGATTTATCTAGTCTGGACTCAGTATTGGCTTTCCCACATCTTAATCAAATGGCTACATGAAAATACACTAACAAAGGAGTAAAGATAAAGTTATTTGGGTGCATGGTTGTAACTGTCTTGTTGGAGACCTGGTTGATGGAGGAATTCCACACTATGGAACTTGAGATATCTAATTTATGTGTCTTAATGCAAGCAGCTGTCGTTCTGCATTTATTATTTAGGAGATATAGATACACAATTTTTGGTTGTTATTATTTTTTAAATGGTTCTTAATTTTTAGCTTTAACAGTAGAGGTGAAGCTTTTGACTTCTGACTTCATCAGACTAAGAGAACTGTGACATTTTCTCTTGCACCTGAGTTCTATACTGAAGTTCTATACTAAATGTTTGATTTCTTCCCTTATTTGTGAGTGCTCAGACTCATATCCTCATTAAAATAAGAAAAAGGGAGTGGAATCTTTGTGGCCTAGTGAAATGTATGCCCTTGAATGCTTTTTATGCTTTCTTTAAAAATAGTTTGTTATGGCTTCAAAACTTTATAAAGACACTAAAATCTTATTTGTTTTGAAGGAGTTTTAGACATTCCCATGATCAGCTGGGTTGTAATGCTGGTGTCCAGACTACTGGATTATGTAGCTACTGTTGAAGATGAAGCAGCCACAGCCAAGAAACCTCTGAATGGAAAAGAGAGGGAGCGATTTTTGACAGGTATTTAACACTTAATATCAAAACTTGCTTCTATGGGTATTGGTTTGGGACCTGTGCAAATACTTAAAACGTATTTTCAATTTACATGAAAAATGAGATTTTAAAAACGGATGTTGTGATCATTTTATTTGCACTGTTGTCTGCTTCCCCCTTCTCCTTAGAAACATCATCTCTTTCATTTTTTAAGTGAAAAATGCAACATTGGTTTTAGTTTGTAAATTGCTTGTATATTATCCTGTGACTCCATCATGCAACAATTTAGATTATACCATGTTGAGATAGTTTGTATTGTGAGAAAATATGACTTCATAACTGCTTTCGTATTTGCCATGGGATTTGTATCCAGTATTACTAAATGCATTTTTTGTCTGCTTTATTTTTGTTATTATTGAAGTGGATTAGCTGTGATTTTCTTTGAACATCTTTTCTAAAGATGAAAACTACAAAGCTTTTGTATTATGGAAGCTGTTTGGGTATTTTTAGTTATGACAGTCTTGGTTTTACCCCCTTATATGTTTTTAAAATAGTGAAAACAACATGGTAACACTGGATTTTAAAATAACACAAAAATATTACCATCAGTGGTGATAATTACATAACACTCAAAGAGTTAGATTTTGCTTGTTTATTTTGTATTTAGTGTATGGACATGCTGCAGTGTAAATGCAACCATGTAATGTAACCATGTAAAAATGTAACCATTGCTGCAATGTAAACGCTTTGCTTTGGCATTAAGTGAAGTTTAATAAGACGGATCTTTCTTTTTTCTATTTCCATTAGGAAACCAGTGGAGTTTTATAAATAATAGCCTTCACACTCAGAGTCTGAGCAGATCTACTAAAGGCAACAGTAGCCTTGATAGACTCTATTCCCGAAAGATCAGAAAACAGCTTGTGCATCATAAACAGGTGACTTCCAGCATGGTAGTGGCTATTTTCACACACGTATATCTTATTTCTTTGAACAGCTTTGGCTCTGGGACTCATTCAGCCTTGCTTTTGCATAGGTCTGGTTCTGTAGCTGAAGGCTGCCTAACTTCTTTGACATTTGTCTCAAACCATGGGGCATGGGGTCTGCTGGAAGAACTGATGTTGGAATGTATTGTTGCACTCTGTGGCTCATTTGACAATAAGTTGGACTTTCTGGATAGATCTGGGTGCACCTGAGTGCAAGCACCTAAGCTGTATTTTAAAAGTATTGTAAAAGATTAAGTTACAATTTGAACTGAAGATTGCTATCATATGAACATACTGATCCTTTTAACATCTTATTGCTTAAATTTTCATTTTTTCCTATTAACATTTTCTTTTAGCAACTTAACTTATTAAAAGCAAAACAGAAGGCTTTGGTGGAACAGATGGAAAAAGAGAAAATACAAAGCAACAAAGGATCATCATACAAACTTTTAGTAGAACAGGCAAAACTAAAGCAGGCTACTTCAAAGGTATGATGCTTTGAAACTGTAACTGACTTCCTGTCCTTTGTGTGAAAAGACCTGTTCCTGCAAAGTCATTTTTGTCCTTTGTTGACTTTATTATAAACAGTTGCTTCATCACGGCTGCTATCAAGTATATTCTGATGCTGAAAACAGCAGCCATCTGGACATTTCTTGCACTGTGAAATACAGTTTATCCTTTTACAGAGGTTTTGTAGGTAGTCATGGCAAAAATCACCAATAATCTTGTCGCTTTGGAAATCCCAGTCGTATCTTTAAACTTTGGATAACGTATGTCAATAGACACGTAAAATAATATTTTATATGGCTAACTTTTATGCATGATATTCTTCTGGATTATCTCCTGGTTGAGTAATCAGAAAATAATCATGCTAATGACTGTCTCGCCAAACTAACGAATATGACTTTTGAGAATGCTTTCTGAGCTTTCTCAGAAGCTTCTTAGCTCCCTAAAACTACTTATCACACGAGTTGTGGCATCTTGCAGTAATCCCCAGATATTGAGAGTGGATGTGGTAGTTAAAGAGTTACTTTGACTATGAGATGAAGTGCTGAAATTTAGGGGTTTCTGGAGATGGTAACATGGACTTTGCAGGGAACACCAAGGAAGGGGAAAAAAAAAAAAAAAGGTGTAAACCTTTCTAGCTACCTAACTTAGGTATCTCTTTAAATGTTTACTCTCTAGATCCAGAATTGCTGATGTCTGTTAGGATGACTGAAAGTAAGCCTGCGGAAAAAGATTATGGAATGTTAGATCTTACAGGCAATCTAAAGGGAAATCTTAGAACTTCCAGTAATTATAAAAAATAAAAAAGTTAAAACAAACACAAAAATACCCCAACAACAAAATTTAAACACCAGCATAAAAATAAAGCCCTAAGTTTTCACTAACTTTGCTTGTCATGAGCTGTTCTTTCCTGCACTATCTTCTGCTTTATTCCAGCAGGTTATAGGAAGGAGGCTACTCTGCTGGTGGCCCGCTTGAAACACCTTTAAATGAGTCACTGGCTGAAATAATGCTGTCCTGCTATTTAAGTTTCACTTTATAGCAGCCATTATGCATCAAAAAAGCATGTTGAACTAAAGAGTTTTCCCTTACACTATCTTAACATCTAGTCATGGTATTATTTGGTAGTTGCATTTCATGCATTTTTTACTATTTTGCCTACTAATCACTTTCAGTTACAACAAATAAGTAACTTAAAATATTTATTGCATTTAGGAGAAAGCTTAAACCTTTGTGTTAGTAAATAGTTCTTTCTTTGTTCTACTTCAGTAGACTCACTACTTAAGTGAGATTACGAGTCATTTGTAATACTTTTAGACTGCTTGTGTAGCTTACAGAATGAATTTAGCTGATAAATGTGTGCCCTTGGTGGATGGGAGGATTAATCAAAGTACCTTCTTTCCTCTGTTGAATTCATAGGCCCTCTGTCAAAAAGATTGTAGTTTAGAGCCTGTTCAAGTATCAGACCAGTTTATGGTGGCTAATGGACACTTTGTACTCTGAAAGTATTAAGAAAGTTAGAAATTATCAATAATTTATCTAATGTGAAGAACTGAGAAGTCAGCATTCTCATAAGGGTAAAATTCCATATTACCATATTTTTATATGCAGTTTGGTTCATGGTAACCATAGCTTTATGTGCAGGTGTGGAAATAAGAAACAAATTTTTAAAATATGTATTCTCAATATGTTTTATGTCAAAGATAAAGGCTTAATTGACATTTTTCCTGAACTGGATTCTGTATGAGACTGTCAGCTGAGATAACGTGCTGTCAAAACAAACTTCTGCCAGTAAAGCTTTAATTCCATCCGAGATTCTAATTTATTCTGAGACTGTCCCTCTCTTTTTTAAAAAGCTTTACGGTTACTGTTTTTACTGCCTCAGGTTTTCACTGGGAAAAGATTTAGAGCTTAGTTTTAAAACATAACTGGTTTTTCAAATTTTGTTTCTGCAGCACTTCAAGGACTTAATACGCCTACGTCGGACTGCAGAATGGCCTCGTTCTACTTTAGATACAGAAGTATCAACAACAAAGGAAACTCCAGAAATTGAACCACTTCCATTTACATTGGCACATGAACGTTGCATTTCAGTAGTGCAGAAGCTGGCACTCTTTCTCTTGTCCATGGACTTTACTTGTCATGCAGATTTACTTCTGTTTGTTTGTAAGGTAAACAAACTGTACTACATCACTTTGTAACTGCAGTGGAGATTAGCACTGCATTAGCTTTCTATTACTGCTTTTTTACAGGCTTTGTGGTAAAAATTAGCTGCAGTATTAAAACTTCTAGTAACTTCTGGTGCGGTTGTTCTGATCTGTCACCTTTCGTGTAACTGACAATATGCTGACTTCAACACTGCATAGAAATAGTAACTTAAAAATATTTTCATATAAGTACACTTGTAAAATTCTGAAATTTAAGCGGGTAAAACCAGTTTGCTTTAAGCAAAGATAATCATAAAAATTAAAGCTACTACATATTTTCACTGTTAAATATGAATAGGCATATATTCCTTTTACTTACAGGTTCTTGCTAGAATTGCCAATGCTACAAGACCAACAATCCATTTATGCGAGATTGTAAATGAGACTCAGTTGGAAAGATTATTGCTGCTTCTTGTTGGAACTGACTTTAACAGAGGAGACATCTCTTGGGGAGGAGCATGGGCTCAGTATTCTCTGACTTGTATGCTGCAGGATATTCTAGCAGGTTTGGTTTATGTTTATGTTTTTCAGAATATACGTTACACTTGAATCTTTCTTCCTTTAATGTTTTTAAGGGGCTTTATTAGTATGTTAGAATCTGCTGACACTGTTAAGATAGTTAAAAAAAAAACGAAAAGAACAAGCAAACAAAAAAACCCAAACCAAGCAACAACCAAAACCAAAGAAAAACTACCATAATATTGAGATTAGTGTGTAAAGAATGAAATTTAAAATTACAATTACTGTCAATCCTGAATTGGTAACTTGTGCATTGCAAAGTTACTGTTTGTATGACCCTGATTGTTTGAAAGTTATTCAGAACTCCTCTGCTTGAAGAAGTAGCCCTTAGAGAACTTAGAGTTAGATGAAGAAAAACAATATTGGCCTAGACTGTGGTGCTGACTGCGGTGTTAATTTGTAACTGAAATTGGTTGTCTGCTGAATCTAATAGGAGAGTTGTTGGCGCCTATAGCAGCTGAAGCTATGGAAGAAAGTGCTTTGGGAGAAGATGCTGGAGCTTCAGCTGGGGATTCTGATGACTCTCTCCAGCAGTCCACAGTTCAGTTAGTGGAGACAATAGATGAGCCTTTGACACATGACATCACAGGTATATTATTCCATGATCTTGATGTATATATGTATACTGGAAATAGTAAAAAAAAAAAAAGAACCCTAAAACTTTGCTGTTATTCATCTATCAAAATATCAGTAAAAGACTTTTGGTGATAGGATGTTTCTGAAAATATAGACAAGCTGTGAGCAATTCAACTTAATTTTACATCTAATCAGGAAAAAATAGTTATTTTTCTGATTATTTAAAAAAGGCAACTTGATTGCATTCATTAACATTTTCCACTAAAAGCTGTAATATTAAAAGCCTTAAAGTTATGTTAAGTGTATCATACATATTTTTTTCATAATTTGTACTTGGTAGTATTAATCCTCTTTTAATCATTCAAAGGTGCTCCACCTCTGTCATCTTTGGAAAAAGATAAGGACATTGATCTTGAATTACTGCAAGACCTGATGGAAGTTGATATTGATCCTTTGGATATTGATTTAGAGAAAGATCCTCTTGCAGCCAAAGTCTTTAAGGTATGATACACCTATGAAAACCTTTACGTGGGAAATAGTAAAATCCTTTCTCTTTACATTTCTTTGTTAGTGATATTTGATGTCTTAGACCTTCTTTTAGCCTTTTACAAAGATTTAATGTAGAATGACAGGAAAGAATGTAAAGATTGTGTTCACATCTCAGATATATTAGTATCTCAGTTGACTACAAACTATTTTGCTTTTGCGTGAAAATAACCTGCATAAACAAGAGGTTCTGAGGTTACTCATACTTCGTCACATGTTAAAAGCAACAGAAGCGTAAGAGAAAAATAAGATTTCTTCTTTTCCTTCTTTTTTAAAGAATAGAGTGCCGTTTGCTTCTGCAGTTGTTCTCAAGAGTTAATACTGCTAGTTTTGTGTTTAAAAAAAAATAAGTCAGCAGTAACTAGTGCTCAGACCAGCTTCAGACTATGACATGAAGCAGCTGACTTCAAAACTTAACTCTTTATGTAACAAGAAAATTAAGTGCTTTTATATTCTGATGTACTGAACATATCAGAGGTAGTAGAATTGCATTTAGATGTAATAGTATATTATCAAGGTATATTTAAAAGGTCATAAAGAAACACAGCTATTCCTAATAAAATGTTGAGTTTCTTCTCTTTGTCCATAAGGATGACACTATCATTTGGCGTTTTCCCATTCCTCTCAATATTGACTTACATCTTCAGCCTCATTTGAATTAACCTATATTATTTTTCTCACCATTTGCTAGGACATTCCTTCATATGTCTTTCCAGTGTTTACCTATCATGTAAAGATTTCCTTTAAATCTCACCCTACCAAAAATTCTAATTTTGCTTAATTTTTGTCTTACTGATGTTTCCTTCCTTTATTCTTTCTTTTCATGTGGTAGTACTCCTTAGTCCACTTCATCCACACATGTCTTCATGATCTTATCTTACTGCAGTTGGTACTGGATCTTGCCATTAAACACAGGCATACACAAATTACCTTCATGCAGTCTTACATGACTTTTTTTGGTTTTGTGGTCCATATGCTTTCTTAGTGTCTTGAACTGACATTTGAGTAGAGATTATTCAATTTTTCTCTTGCAGTACAAATAATCTCTGAGCCTCACTGAGGCTTCGGGATACTTTATTAGTACAGTTAATGCTATAGTATTCTATCTTAACTAACTTCTCAAAATATCTGCATCTTCACTTCCAAATTTACAGTATGGTATGAATGTGAGAATAAAAACTGATGCTAATTGGCTTTTTAAATCTTTCAGATAGCTAACTGCATTGCTGGATTTTGACAATCACTAAGGATTCAGTAGCTTATACTGCAATAAAAATGGAAACAAATTTTTTTAAAGCTATTGCATCCAATCTTCTGGTTTTAATTTTTTGTAACTTCAGTGTTTGTTGTTAGTCATTACAAATTTTATTCTTTTACTTGGGCAGTCTAAAGAGTTGCTGTTTATTTTTTTTCTTTGTTGCTTTGTTTGGTTTTTAAGCCTATAAGCAGCACCTGGTACGATTACTGGGGTGCCGATTATGGCACCTACAATTACAATCCTTACATTGGAGGTGTTGGAATTCCAGTTGCAAAACCGCCAGTAACTACAGAGAAAAATGGATCACAAACTGTGAGCGTATCAGTCTCTCAAGGTAAGTCATGAACTAAAGTTCTGTTCAGGGTTCCTTTTCTGAGATACTGTATTTGACACTTCTGCATATCAAATGATGTAAACAACCTATGTACATTAAGTGGAAAGAAGTAACTTTTCTATATGCCACAGCTTTTCTGTGGTGACTGAGAAAATGTTATATATGAAGCTTACGTTTAAATCAGCCTAATAGAGCAGAAAATCTCATTTTCTAACATTTTCAAGCACACACTTACAGGCAGGTTTAAATCTTTCCTGTTAGGAAATTTTGGAAGCTCTTTTCTAGTTGGCTGATAATTTGGATAATTGACTCTACCCTAAAGAATGAGGTGGCACACTTGTTTAATTTGGAATTGATAGATCTTTCCCTTGCCACACTGGGGAAAACCAGCTTTTTAGTTCTTGGTCGAGAGTTGTTACCTTAGGAAAAACAGGCTTATCACACATGACTAAATGTGCATATGTTTATTATAGTGACTGAAAAGAAATATACGTGTGCAACACAGAAATTCAGTATTTTATTAATTATGTATTTTATACCTGTAGGAATCTTATATTCAGTTCAGAGTATGAGTTTCTATGTTCTGCTTCCATCACATGTAAAAGTGAATCTTCCTGTTAGCAATTCTGTGGGGTTTTTTTCAGTTTAATGTGTACTGTATAGCTACGTTGCTTGCACAGGAAGTTAAAGTAACTGATTATATATGTCTCTGATATAATTCAGTTTTACCCTGTTTGTTGCCTTGTGTAGCTTTAGATGCACGTCTAGAAGTTGGACTTGAACAGCAGGCTGAGCTGATGCTGAAAATGATGTCCACCCTGGAGGCTGATTCCATTCTACAAGCATTAACAAACACATCTCCTACATGTAACTACATGTTGTCAAATCATTCTCTTCACATAATAACCATGATGCTTTGAAACTTGCAACTAATTTTTTCTGTAGTCACTTAGCAGCTTGGAGAAACTTATATTTTGCCTGAATTTTTTTGATAGGCTGAGCATTAGAGATTTTTGGGTTTTTAATTCAGATTTTTCTGTGTACCTATATGTGAAACATTTTGAGAAACTGGTCAAATCTGCAGATTTCTTTGAAAGTACATTGCACTACAGTGGAGGTATTGTTTTCGTTTTCTGATCTTGTGCAAGTGAGCATTAAGTTTCCTGGTTTTGTGAACTTGCATTCATTGTGATATTTCAGCTGTTTGAAAGCTGCTTTGCACTTGACAGTTTCACCTATTCGATGGTGAAAGTGAAAATATTTTAATACAGTGTTAAACTCAGCTGTTCAGTAAGCTTTATGTTACAAAAGCACTCGTGATGCCAATTCGCTTCTGAACATATTTTCAGTGAGTGGCACTGCCTATCTTGTTAAGATGTGCTTCTTTGCAGCTGTCTGGGTACCTTAATATACATGCATTCATTACTTGAATATCTGATCATGGAATAGGTTTAGTGACATCCTCAGCCCTTATTCTCTGGAAGTGTAGTATTGATTGCAATAGTTTCACCATAATGCATGGAAGAGATGTCACAATTGTTTGTCTTACCACTGTGTTACCAAGACACGCCGGTAATACATGTTTAGCAAGAACTGTGAAAATGTATTTGTGTAGGGTGACTTTCAAGCAGTTTTTGTGAAAATGAAGATGTCTGAGACTCAAATATGCCTTTCACAGTATGGTAGTCAGTAGTCCAATTCATCTGAATGCTACATTGGAGATGTTCTTGTAAATTACGAGTGTCTTTCCCTTAAGTATAAAAGGCAAGGAAATAAATATGAAATTACTTTTAGGAACTCGTATGAAATAGTTCATGGGAGGATGGTACTTCTTGTTTTGTTTTTTAGTAACCCAGTCTCCTAGTGGAACAGATGATTCATTGCTAAGAGGATTACATGCTGCTAACCAGAACACCCAGTTGATTGTACAGTTGTCATCTATACCTATGCTGAGTGCATGCTTCAACAAACTCTTTTCCATGCTACAAGTCCACCATGTTCAGGTATAGAATTATGAACTTTGATATGTTTTATTAGTATTTCTCTCTAAATTAGAAAGTTGTTTTCTATACTTATTAGTACTTAAGGTTCAAGTAACCTGTTATGTTATGTGCTTTATTGCTTATGAAGCTGTCAAAACCAGCACCAATAACAATATTGGTACTTGTAATAGACAACCTGCTGAAAGTTTTTATTAAATAGGACATTTCTTGTGACAACGAAAGTAAGTTTGTAGGTCACTGAAACATAATTGTTAGCTTATTAGTGAAGATTGTCGCTTAGTATTCAGTCTCCCGTCTGTGGACATTTTTAAAACGCAGCTGGATAATCCCTTAACAACCTAGTCTGCTGTCTTCTTTGGACCGTCTTTGAGCAGAAGATTGGCTTGGGTAACCTTCAGAGATCCCTTCCAACCTGAATTATTCAATAATCCTAAACGTTTTGAGTGTGTCTTTTGAAAAGTCGTTGGTTTAGCAACACTTTTTGGATGCATACAAGGGAACACACCGTGTGTGCTATGTAAGAGTGATGAGGTGCCTGCCTGCCTGTTCATATTTTAATTGAGTGGCTGACCCGTAACTCAGTAGTTCTTTAACTACCTCATCCAAAATACATTTTGTGGTGTAACGGACCTTAATGTTTCCCTAGAATACCTGCGTAGTTATTTTCCTCAAGGGAGTTTTTCAGAGTGAGCATCAGTGTCTCTCTGATAGTAAAAGAGGTTTTCCAGTAATTAAATTGGCCTTTTGAATAAATTTGGTTGACTGGTAAACATTGGTTGACTATATCGAGATATTCCAAAAGCTTACATGCAAACCAAGGTTACCAGTATAAGGTTTTGATACATGCTACTCAGAAATGTCTGTAAAGCTGCTTTTTTTTATTTTTTCATGTAAGTTTGAATAAAGTTCTTTAGAGAAACTTAACTGTATTTAGAAGAAGTCGATTACAGAAACATAGCAGAAACATTTGCTAGTTATGCTGAATTTGCCTTGAATATTATGTTTATAAGAATCTTCAAATCCAGTAAAGGAGAGAGTGTGTGTGTTATCAGTGAAACAGTAGCAGTTGAGAATGTAGATAAGGCTTTGGAAATCAAAACAGATAAAGTTTTATGCATTTTTCCATAATTCCAGACTGTTATTTTGGTCTGATAGTGGTTTTCCCCCTCTCTTTTTTTTTCTCCAGCTTGAGTCCCTTTTACAGTTATGGCTCACATTAAGCCTGAATTCCAGCTCCTCTGGAAGTAAAGATAGTGGCGCTGATATTTTCCTTTATAACGCTAACAGAATACCTGTCATTTCCTTGAACCAAGGTAAAATACATTAAATATGGGAAGTTAATTTTCAGGAACTGTAAGATAAGATTTTTTAAGTAGTCAATTTTTACAGTAAATATTCTTGATAAGATCAGTGTTAGGTAAATTTCTGTGTTCTAATTAAAGAACCCTTGGGCTCATTCTCTTCTTAACATGAAAAATGTGTAGCTAGTTGTAACTGAGAGATGATTCATTGAATTTGCATAATCTCTTCAGAAATTAAAGTGTAAAATTTGTGGGGTTTAACTCATCATTACACTGAGGAGGGATTTTTAAAATACACTTCTTAGTCTAAGGTGAACTGTGCACCTGTATGCGCTTCCCTGACTATTGTCAAATGGGTTAGAGGGGGTGGGAAACCCTATTACTTTCTGGCCTCAAACTACCATGGTAGTACAAAGACATGTAGAATTTGTTTTTTTCTATAATATGTTATACTGTATAGTTTAGAAAATCTGTCATATATTCTGGTTATAGTTCAAAACATTAATGCCTGCTATAATGAACCTGTTACATTGACTTCCATGAGAGCATTTTGGAACCAGTTTCTTTGCTTCATTTGCTCTGAGATGTCAGGGTGTGGGTGCTGTAGAAAGTTCTGTGGGACAGTGTCTGTGAAGTGTTGGTGAGGCTTCTTTTCCTAACTTCCTGGAACAGTAGTTGACAAAACAAAGTGAATACAACATCAGTAACAGTAATAATAAACATAGCACCTTACAGTAAAAATAAGAAATTAATAGTAATACCCTGAAGATTAAAGCTTGAAAAACATGTTTTTCTTGACAGCTTCAGTAACTAGCTTCCTGTCAGTTCTGGCATGGTATCCTAACACCTTACTCCGAACATGGTGCCTTGTGCTTCATAGCCTAACTCTCATGACAAATATGCAGCTTAATGGTAAGTTTTGTCCTGCTCTCTTCCCTTCTCTCTCCTCCTCACCACTGGAGTATAGGGCAGATTCTTTTTGGGAACTATCCTGTGCTAGGGTTTTGAGTAACCGCTGTCTAGGGCAGGTCAGTTCATGGTCAGAAAATCTTATTTCATTATGCCGTTACTTGCTGATAAAGTACTTTCTGAACTTCTGTGCTTCAGAAGTTCATACCTGAGGAGTGCAAGATTATTTTTCAGGGATTAACTCAGTACCCCTGCCATTTCTTTTGAACCTTAATTGGTTACATGATCAAGGGACAAAGTTCGCAAGGATGGTGTTTAAAATCAGTATTTGATGGGTGACATCAAATTCATTTAATCTCATGTAAAGGAAGGTGCGTAGAAGCAAATCTACAATGATAATGATACGTGGCTAGAAAAACTTCTCAGAGCTACAGTTGCTCTCCAGGAAACAGCTGTCATCTGTCAAATTGTTCTCACAGTGTATTTACTCATCTGTTCCTTGAGCAAGATCTAACCATGTTCTCCTCACATGCCCTTTGCTTTCTGTTATTGTTGTCACTGGAAATACTGTTTGAGAGCAGTGTTTTGAACATAAACACTACCTGACAGAGCAGATGATACAGATGCATCCTGAACACTGAGTTAGTATGCCAAACAAAACCTGTTAGGCTACAAATATAATGTAGTAAAAAAGGGGGGGACTTAATATTGTAGTGATATTTTTAGCTGTTAAATAAAAAATACGAAAATAAAATAACATAGGAAGTTTTGTGCATGTATTTTAAAATTAATTTGGGTACTCGATACTTTTGGACAAACTCAAGTGACATTTAGTTCAAAACTGAAGTCGTACACAAAGTTTGAATGATGCAGTTGCATTGAAATGATGACAAGTTACAGAAAACTATGAAAACCAGAATAACCAAATTCAGATTAACTTCTCATTTTGATTAGTTGTCATCTGCAGCTGAATGTATTTTTAGTGGTAGTGAATTGTCTTACATTTCAAAATAGCTTATAAGGAACTTAAAATTTTAAAAACCCTATGACACAAAATGTATTAATGTAACACGTCTGAGTATACATGCAAGAGCTAGAGCTTATCATGTTCTTAGTGACCTGAGTGTCATTTTCATTTTTAACTTGTATCTTGATACACTCAGGAACACCTGCCAAAACCAAAAAACCCTCCCCAGCAACAATCTACATACCTTATTTCCTTAGAGGGAACATCAGTGTATTACATGTTTTACTTCAGTAAATGCTCAGGGGTGCAGATTCAGCAGGGGAAAATAAACTGATAAGTTCATTCAGACTGGTGCTTGCAATGCACGGCCTGCAATGGAAGACTTCTCTGTTCTGAAATGTTTGGTTTTTCTTTTTGAGAACCTGTGAAATTGTGTGCTTGCTTTATAAAGACTTGTCCCCCACCCAGACAACACTTAACCTCTTCAACTTTTGCAGTATCGAATGTAAACTAGAGCAGGCTTATTGTCTGTAATAAAATGGAACTGGAATGCTGTGGGATGCTTTGTTGCTTATATTCAACCCCAGCTATCGCCATGCCATCTGTCATAGCCATATAGTCTTGATCCACTACAAATGTTGACAGATCAGTGCAAAATGGTTTGTATTGTTTTACAAGATATACTTTCAGCATTAGTTTTCTGCATTTATCTAAAGTAAGAAATCTGTTTATAGGTTTAGAATAAAATGGTACTTGTTAAGGGAAAACTTACTTTGAATTATCTTCTCTTTTGATCTTCTTGTAAGGATTTCTCCTATAGCAAGTGTCTTTCAAATGCTATTTTTATTTCATTTCTCTGAAAGGTTTTCAACTGAGATGGAAGCAATCAGGGTTTAATTCTGGTTTTGACAGAAATGTTTCACTCCTAGTAGGGATCGTTAGTTTAATGCCCTGTAGTTTAAAGAAAGTATTGTGAATGATGAAGACTCTGATAAACAGAGTGACTAGTAAGTAGTTCATTATTTGGTTCTTTCAACAGCTTCCCTAATTAAAAATCTTACCTTGGGATGTGAAGGGATGCCAGTCAAGCTCTTGTACCAGAGCATCATTTCCTCTTTGTTTGATCTTTTATGTATGATGAGATAGTCTGAAAGAGATTGCATCTTCAGCAGTAACCTGTAACTTCATTTACATAAGTGTGATATTATAAGAATATATTTTTTTATTCAATAAGTAGTTATGCTTTTTTCCAAGTTGTGTTTTGAATTGATTCAGTGTACCACTATTGAATGAGTAAGACTTCACTTTTAATAGGGCTCATTTGTTTGATCATTGAAGGGTGTATTTTAATTCTAATTCTGGTTCTCAGAGTTCTTATCTCTTAAGCTCCCTACACTTTTAGTCAATGATAGTAAGTCTCTGAATGTGCCAAGGACAAAAGTATCTTGATTGTTTACAGGTTAATAGAACAGGTAGTGTCTGTCTGGCAAACTAACAGATGCATTTAAGCCTTATTAAAGTGTTCGACCAGCAAAGGCAAATCAAAATGTCTGTATATATTGCTTCTACAAAATGAAGCTCTACTTTCAGGAGTACTGCCTTAGCAAGCCTAGAACACTGGTGGAACAGTTTTGGGGGTTTATATCTGTACTTAATGGAAAACTCTACACTCAAAATTGTAAACCTGAGTAAGTGGTACCCGATCTTGCTGAAAATATTTACACATCATGAAATAAGTACAAGGGATATGCAGTATAAATGTTTGGTTTACACTGAATACTTAAGATTACAGATTTAATTTTTATGTCTTTATTTTTAAGCTGGTCCAAGCAGTGCCATTGGAGCTCAGGAAAGTACTGCCCAATTGTTGGTGTCAGATCCAAACCTCATTCATGTGTTAGTGAAATTTCTTTCTGGCACTAATCCTCATGGAACAAATCAACACAGTCCACAGGTAACTAGCAATTAAAATAAGAGAAAAAACCTCTTCATAATAGGATTCCAGTACACTTGACATGAAATATGTGTTACTCATAATGTAGTATATCCTTGGCTTGTTTCTTTTCTTTGGTTATAGTCTTAGTTGGCTCTGAGCAACCACAGGCAAGTTTGTGTTGGTCATACACTCTGAGTAGTGATCATATGTTTTTACAGCTACCTGGAGACTTCACACAGGGAGAGAATGCCATGTGATATGTCAGTGTTCCCTGTTAGGATTCCTTAGTTGCATGCATGAAAAAAGTAAGCGAGTTCAGTTAGTTTCCTGAAATCTTATTGGATTGCAATTAAAATGGCAATGAAGATTAAGTTTAAATATCTAATAATTCCAGAATTTAAAATTACGCTTTTGTTTTCTACCTGTTACTGTTTCTGCCTATGTTACCTTAATTGTATGTAACATTAGATGGGAATCTCTGACACAATTAGTTTAGAAGACAGAAAACAGCTGGTGTTTCTAGTATTTTCCAGAAATTAGTCTTTTCCAGAACTTAAACGTTGTTCGAAACACCTGGTGTTTCTAGTATTTTCCAGAAATTAGTCTTTTCCAGAACTTAAACGTTGTTCTATTTCTTTAATTTAAAGCACTTACATGTAAATGTGTGGTTTGTGAAAAAGCGTTCAGATCAGCACAGAAATGTATTCTGTGTGAAGCATTGTTTGCATTGCTGAACAGAAAATCTCAAGCTGCAAAACAAGTCTTAGGCAAAGACTTGAATTATTTGCTTTTTACTCATGGCTACTAATAGAAAAACACGTAATGTAAATTGATATAGAATAGTTCTCCTGTGAAAACCCTGTAAAATTCTTCAGAAAGTAAGTTAAGCTACGTAATACTTTTCTCTTCTTAGAAAATGTGCTTGTGAGATACTACTTAATGTTCTTGAAGACACTTCAGTTTCTTATAAAACTTACTTACTAAAATGCCTTTCCCTCTAGGTTGGGCCAACAGCGACGCAAGCTATGCAAGAATTTCTTACTCGATTACAAGTGCACCTTTCTTCAACTTGCCCTCAGATGTTCAGTGAATTTTTATTGAAATTAATCCATATACTTTCAACAGAAAGGTAAGTCTTAACTTTTTTTTTTTTCTTTTCATGCCCTGTTTGTCTCAAATCTGTGTGAGCATTAATCACAACTAAGATGCCTGTGACCCTCCTTGTCATCCTATCAAGTTATATATGGATGGAGATCTTAGATGTTGCTGCAGCACTACCAGCAGGATCTTGGCTACTTCTGGCATGTGGAAGAGTGCGACTGGAGTCCATACACAACAATCTTTGTGTGAGGGATAGTGAATAAAAGCACTGAACAGTTGTTCGGACTGACTTTATGATTTGATAGAGATCTACAATCCAGGCCTTGTTAAAGCAATCCCTAAAATAGGGGCACTGTTAACTAGTTTACGTATTTTAAAAAGAGTATTCTGAGACCCCTGAATTAATGAAAGATTCTAGGAATTACACGTAGATTGCGGAAATCATACGCATAGCTTTTATAACGTGGTAGGATGAAACATGAGATTGTGTAATTCTGTCATGCAAAATGCATGTTTATTGTTTTGTCTTCCATTTCTCTTCTCCTCACCAAACAGTGGAAAACCCCCTTTGCCCCACTCTTCTGGGGCCTACTGATGACCGGGATTCTCACTAGTATAGATAAGAAGTGCCATTAGGTGGGAGAGATAAGAGCTTATGGCTTGCCTTTTATAAGAAAAAGCTCTGCTTTCTCAAGGCTAGGTCGATGGGCACAGAACTACTGTGTAGACAGTAGTACACTAAAAATCTGCCAATTGTTTGGCCTAAAGTACATGAGGAATTATCATTTATTTCTAGTACTGATGTTCTGGTCATCCCCAGACAAAAGCTTCATATAGTTAGGGATGAGCTTCCTCAGTTTCTGGCTTCCCAGTAGGTGGCACTTTGGTGTTATCCTTTAATCATGCAGAAAACAGTTTTGGCCTTCTCTAAGAGATTTTACTTTAGTAACTTAAATTGGGTAAGTGGTGCTTACCAGGCTACACTGATACTCACACAAGAAATGTCATAATACCATAAAATACTAATTCAAAGCGAATCTTCAAATGCCTTCTCTTCATGCCGTAATTTATTTGAATTAAGGTAAATGAGAGCACTGAAAGGATAGTTTTTGAAATGTATTAGATTTTTTTTTTGAGACAAATCAAAGGTGACCTGAAATGTCATAAAATGGAAGCAAAACACCAGAAAAGGGGTTAGATGTTTATTTCTGAAACCTCAGCTAATTACTGGAGTATAGCATGTCTGATCAAAGCATAAGATTGATTGTGAAGAAAAGCTGTATTTTACTGTTAGAACTAATTAAATGCCAAATATTTTCTTCAGGGCTGTTTGTATAAAATGTTTTCTTCTGTGTTTAATTTTAAAAGTTATAGTAAGATTATTCGCTGTCAAAAGATAAGGAGAAATATATCAAAAATTAGTAACTAACACTTCAAGAAGTAGCACCAGTTTTATCTTAAATACACTGATTTGAAAGTTTCATTTTGTAGTCCACCATGATATGTGTAAAAGCAATTGGGAAAATAAACTTATCCCTAGAAGAGGGTTCCTTAAGACAATCAACCTACAAGCACCAACCTGTGATAGTTTGAGTACCTTACCATGGTCATCTTATGTATATTTGTTATTTAGATAGCTAAAACCTGACCATTCTTCTTTCTGCCTCAGGGGAGAAAAGAACAACAAAATCTATGGATGAAAAAACCCATCATGATTTCCAATTAGAAAACTAATAATCCTAATGATATTAAAGTATTGGATTACTTCTTCCCATGAAATTTCCCTGCAAACATACGAAACACTGTACCAATACTAAACGGGTCTACGCTCTAAGTATGTACCTGCAAAATTAACTGAATTATTAAAAAAAAAAAGATGGGTCTTAGACTTTTTCAAATGAAACTGTAATCCTCAGTGGTGTCAGGAAAGTGGTAGCATGAGCAGGTTCTACAGTAATGACCAGTACATTAATTAAAAACTTATGAATGCTTGACTTACGAAAGATCAGATTGTGCTTCAACATGCATTTCTGAAAATGGCTGGAGTTTTATCTATTGAAACTGGTGTGCTTTTTGAGTCTTAAAAATCGAGAAAAGAAAAAAATAAACCAAAAACCCAACACAAACCCCAAACCAAAAGAAACAAACCACTTAAACTTGTTCATATTGAATGATGACATTTTTTATTTTCTTTCTTTCAGGGGTGCTTTCCAGACAGGCCAGGGACCCTTAGATGCACAAGTGAAACTCCTGGAATTTACCCTGGAACAGAATTTTGAAGTTGTATCAGTTAGCACTATTTCTGCAGTAATTGAGTCTATAACCTTCCTCGTGCATCATTACATTACATGTTCGGACAAAGTGATGTCTCGCAGCGGCTCAGACAGCTCCGTGGGTGCTCGAGCGTGTTTTGGAGGACTTTTTGCCAATATTATCCGTCCAGGTGATGCCAAAGCAGTTTGCGGAGAGATGACAAGGGATCAACTGATGTTTGATTTGTTAAAACTAGTCAACATTTTAGTTCAACTGCCACTTTCCAGTAACCGAGAATATAGTGCCCGTGTTCCAGTAGCAAGCAGTACTACAGACAGTGTGTCTGATGAAGAAAAAGTTTCAGGAGGCAAAGATGGCAATGGAAGCAACCCTAATACTCAAGGATCAACTGCATATGTGGCAGACTTGGTGTTAGCCAACCAACAAATTATGAGCCAGATTTTGTCTGCACTTGGCCAGTGTAACAGCAGTGCTATGGCAATGATTATTGGTAGGTATTTGTGAATAAAACAGAAGATCTTTTGGGGTAACAAAATACTTAAAACTTCTACAAACTCGTAAATTGGGTGTAGACATGAGAGAATGCATCACAGAAATGACAGGAAGAGAGACTGATAAGTGAAATTAAAGAAGTTATATGAAAAAAACTAACATCAGGTGGGAGACAGTAATTAAAACCAAACAGGAATGCATATGGCACTTGAATTTGCTGAATGGTCAGTGTTGAAAGGACCTTGAAATCTGGCGATTGTCAAGTCCAACCTCTCTGCACAAAGCAGGATCAACTCAGAGCCTGCTTCAGACAGCAAGTTGCTCAGTACCTTGTCGAGTTGGGTTTCTAATTCCCCAAGAGTGGAAGCTCCACAACCACTCTGGGCAGCCTGTTAATGTTCAGTCATTCTTAAAGTAGAAAATCCTTTTTCTTATGCCCATCGCATGCCTTTATGCACAAATTAGTCTTCAGTTTATAGTATAGACACATTACCTCAGTTCTTTAAGTGTTGTGTCAGTTTCATTTTTTTAATTGTTTAAGAGACAAATTACAGTTGTGGCCCTTGCATAGAATACATAAACCTTCTTATTCGTCTTTTGTACCAGAAGTTGCATTACTAGTGTGTTTCGGGAGTTCCAGTCTTATTTTTGGTTTGGATCTTCCTGCTATGAACAAGTGAGGAAGCTGATGATACTTTGAACAGCAAAGTTGCTATTTGTCAGACACATGACAAGGGTGCATTTTCTCGGAGAGACTATCTTGATGCGACTTGCTTGTGAGCAGCGATGTTAGCAGAGAGTTTATTTGCACAAATGAAACCACTAGCTGAAATACGGTGAATGTTTCTGTGTGTGCAAAACTGGGAAAATATTTTGCATGAGGATAGGCCAAGAGCCTGCACTCCATTTCAGGCAAAAGACTTGTAAAACTTGGCTCTCTTTATAGTGATTCTCTTGTCTCAAAGTATCTCTGGCCTTTTTTGCACTTCATCTCTTTTAAGCAGATGTGAAACTGTTAACCAATGCTGTTACCAGAAAACAGTAAACTTTTTGGCTGAGAGCATGTGAATGTTAGACCAGTGGTTCATTTTGGCATAAAAGCAGTTGAGAAAAAAATCTGCAGTAGTCAAATTAAACAGCAGGCAGGATTTGACAAGTCTGGATTGCACTGTTGGAACCTTCCTGAAATTAATTCTAGAACTTCTCTTTTATTCTGCATAGTTGGCATTGTATTGCAAATACACTATGAACACAAGAAGTAGTTTGTTCTGGGAATGGTGGTTTGTTCTGAGTATGAACTACTTTGGAGTGAAATTCAGATATTCTCCTCCTAAACTTTGATGTCTTTCCAACCACTGATTTCTGTGCAGCAGTTGTTTTGAGTTTTTTAGGAAATTTGGAAAGATAGTGTTGTTTCAAAATATTTTCATTGAATTCAGGGTACTGGGCCAGCTGATCCCATCAGCGGATTGTTCCTCCCACAGCCTTTTAATGTAGGTTATTGAAACTAATTTGTTTGTGTATTCTGAGAAGATGTAACACAGTTATTTGTGGGTTTAGTTCCTTCATGAAGAACTCTGTTAAGCTCTCTCCAGACAATTTCTATGAACAAACATTTCTCCAAGACTGCAGCCAAGGTTATATATGATACAAAAATCAGTTCTGAGCATACAGTAGTAAACGTGTAATACCTAGTGCAGCATGCTAGCTACCCAGCGAAGATAAAGAAGATGATGTCTGCAGATGTGTACTGATAAGTAGTGGCTTTGGTGCCAAAACTAATGCTAATAATGTTAATTTACTACACCTGGCAAGCCACCTGGTCAGGAACCAGGAAAGCCTTGCATCATTCGTCACATGAAGTTAAAAGATTTGTTGGATTTTCTTTATGACCATTTTGTCTATTTATTCCATTAGGTTTTTATGCTTTGTTGTTGACAGACAATGAAAATCATACAAGTAACAGTATTCCCCTCCTTGCCTACCAGCTCCTCATCTCAAAGTCTTCACAGCAAACCCACATGACTTGTCTTAAGCTTCAACATTGATTCCACTTAACTTTCCCAGGCCGTGCAGAGGCTGACTCCTAAGGCTTTTTTTTGCCTGTCTCCATGCATCCAGTGCTTACCAATATTTTCTTTCTTGACAGCTTTAAGGTGGTTAAAGTACTAAAGCTGTCAATGCTCTTGCCAAAATGTTTCTCTAAGGCATGTTCCAAAGATTACTTGAACACATCTTTTATTATCGTTTCTTCGTATAACTCCAGTTTCTCTAAATGGAACAGCATTATTCCATAGATTCCTCCCACTGAAATCTAAAGCCACTTTAAAAGCTTTTCCAGATTGATGTCATATGCTTTGTAAGACAGCTGTATTTATGAAGGTAATCTCTTCCTTGGGAAGACTGTTCTTTTGCTTTCCATCCTCAATTTCAGCAATGTGTAATCAATATTTCTGAATATTGATATTCAGTTAAATCCTCGTGAATAAATCCTGAGGTTTACCACTGAGAAGGAGAATTTTGAGAGAGGTATTTCTGATAGAAATACACGTTAAACGTTTGGGGGGGTTTTGGCTGCACAAATGCACTTCTATTATATGAAAGAAAAAATCTTAAATTCTTTTTAGTTGCTTCTGGCTAGGAGGTATTGGTTCTTACTCTGTTTATTTCACTAAACACGCTCATTCTTATGGTCTTACCTAAAATTGGATTTAAATTCCTGACTTCTGGGGTCGAGTTACCTACTTACACTGTAAAGAAGGTAGTACATGTCTGGGAGCACTAATAGACATTTTTTTTGATCCTGAAAACCTGATTCAGTTTGTAGTTTGTAAAAACCGTGTGGACATTTAACTGAAAAGAAATCTAAATATCCTTGAGTTTTCTTACATGCTGTAATGGTTTGTTAGATGTCACTTTCTGACCTTCAAAGTGTTTCTGTTTTCATTAAGGTGCAAGTGGCTTACATCTCACTAAACATGAAAACTTTCATGGTGGCTTAGATGCAATATCAGTTGGAGATGGGTTGTTCACTATCCTGACAACACTTAGTAAAAAAGCAACAACAGTGCAAGTGATGCTTCAGCCGATTCTTACCTACATGGCCTGTGGGTACATGGGAAGACAGGTGAGTTCCTTTCGGTCTGCTGTGATTCAGAGGAATTACAGATCATTTGGTGGTGTCATTTATAATAAGCTCACAAACCTGAACTAGTGCTATGTAAAAAACGTTAACATCTTTCCAACCTCACTTCAGTTTGGTGCTGAAGTTAGGAAGCCTCTCTCCATTGCCCATGGTAGAAGGAGTGAGAGTTTCTGTAAGGACGTTTTGACATTCCTGTAAGTGTTCTGGCTAAAAGCTTGAAGATGGATTGAATATTTTATTATGTGCAGGTAGGAAATAACATTTATTGTGTTCATATGAGTGGGTATTTTAAATGCTCAATATTATTATTTCCCTCAGCTGCTTGTCCTGGTAGTTTGATCTTTTTTCTTACCTCAAAGACTGCTCCTACATAAGGAGTGAACCCTGTGGAACATGGTATTGCTATTTTGTAGCAGAGAGGTCAACTGTGCTGGCATTTCCTCTCTGGGATTTTTGCCCTACTAAAAAGGGAGGCTAAGAGCAGTCATGTGTATTTCTGTCATATTAATTTTTTATGAAACCATGTATTGCTTAACTGTTTTTCTTCTAGGGTTCTCTTGCCACTTGCCAGTTATCTGAGCCACTGCTCTGGTTCATTTTACGGGTGTTGGATACAAGTGAGGCACTGAAGGCTTTCCATGATATGGGTAAGAATGGCTTTTCTTTAGCTGCAGCAAGTAAAAGGGTTATTGCAGATTTACTTTTTTTTTAATTTATTTTTTTCCCCTCATCTTTAGAAGGACTAAAGAGACATGCTTGGAGGAGCACATTTACTGAATAGTTGTTTGCTTGCTTAAAATCTATTTCATGCTTCTGAACAGTGTTGTTTCCTCTCCCTCTGCCCATGTTATACACAGGTGGTGTTCAGCTTATTTGCAACAACATGGTAACGAGCACAAGAGCTATTGTTAACACAGCAAGAAGTATGGTTTCAACTATTATGAAATTTCTTGATTCTGGTCCCACCAAAGCAACAGATAGCAGTTTGAAAGCTAGAGTGCTAGCTTCTGAGCCTGATAATGCAGAAGGAATTCACAATTTTGCACCCTTAGGTAAGTAATATTTCTTTCTTCTACATTAATGTCCAGTGGTCATTCGAATCTTTATCAAGTTCTTAAAATTATTGTGATAGTGTCAAATGTTGCAATACTGTTAAATCATTTAAACAGGGAGGTTGCTGGTATTTCCGGAAGATCCTGGGGGAGGAGATTAGTGCTCCCCCACTTGTATTAAGACCTCTTGTGGTTAGGGGAAAGAAGAGAGTGATCCATAGCTGATGTAGTCATGCAACAAGTTGGGCTCCTTCCTCCATCCCTAGGTCAGGGGATACCCAGTTCCACCCCACCTTCTGCTTTAGATATATTAACACTCACTGACTTATCTTAAGGCACATTGGATTTGATAGAGCTGCTGCAGAAGACTAGCAGACTTGGACGAAACAGAATGAGCCTAACCTGGGTCAAAGCAGAAGAAGCTGGAGTGTAGGGCTGATATTGCTGCAGCTGCTCCCGCACCTGCACCTCATTGCTCTGATGTTGCCTGCATGAGCATTTGTTAGAATTGCGGAGCTGTTTTGGTAACAATACTATGGCTGTTAGTTAACTAAAATGCATGTATTTTAAGATGTAGATGTACCGTAATATCTTACAAAGGTTCCTTTTCACTACTAGTGTCTTAATGTTTTGTGTTGCTGCCCAGTAGCCTAGCATAGCCCACGAATGTGTTCATACGGTGTGTCTCACTGTTAAGAGGGAAAAAAAAAGGATTATTTTTTAAATTTTCTGGAAAAATTGTTGGGCAGGAGAGAAATCAATTCAAATTTAAGGGTGTCAAAAATAATGAAATTAGGAAAAAAAAATTATTTGGCTCTTCAGAAATTCCTAAAAGATAAAAGAATCCTGTAAATGCTGGTTCTTGATTACTTTTAGTAGAAAATATTCTATGTTTATGTGGAGGTGGGCTCTTGCATGCCTTATCTCCCAGCAATTCTTGATGATCTCCTATAAGTGCATCTATCTTAATTCTTTACTTTCAGTCAGGAGTATGCTTTTGAAATTAACCTTTTGGTTGTCCTCACTTAATACATTCTAGTTTGCATCGTGGAGTGGTCCCTGAGAGAGAATTCAGTTCACTTGGGATGAGAGTCTATCAAAACGTGGCCAGGAATTCACCTTCAGCTGCTACTAGGCATTCAGTCATGGCTACAAGGCATTCAGGCTAGAGCTACTTTAACATAAAACCCCAAGTACTTGTAGTCTGAAGAGCACAAATATGGTCTTCTTGTGCCATACTATTTGCTAAAGAAGACATGCATTTGCTAAAGAAGATGTTCCTACTTCGTTCTTAACTCATGCCAAGATTGGAAAAATAAGCAGCCACTGCTGTGATCAGTTGTGGGTTTTTTTGTTTTTTTTTTCCTTTAGAAAAATGTTTTCATGTGAAACGAAACTGTTTAAAGAAAAGGGTTTGGTTAAAAAATTGCTTATGTTATCACTGTAATATTTAAATCTTTAAAGTCTTCGTTATGCTAACTGAATGAGCTGAGTTCAAGTTCTAAGCATGCTGTCCAACTTGCGTCATCTTGGTTGGGTTTTGTAGTGAACTCTTGATAGAAAGTTTAGGATTTTGGTAGTAAGTGTCCCCTAGCAAATTTTCAAGCTTGCTCATAATGTAAATATGTAAACTGCCTATTTAAAACAGTGTAAGAGTAAAGGAAAAATATCTCAGCAGTTGTCATTATCACACATGGGAGGTTATCAATAAACCAAAACAGGTGAGAGAGAGTTAAAGAAAAGTGTTTTCTACAGTTCAGGTTGTAAATTTATCTGAGTTTTATTAATGATCAGTGTTAATGGTGCTGTTTTTGAAGGTTCAATCACCTCAAGCAGTCCCACTGCCCAGCCTGCCGAAGTGCTGTTACAGGCTACTCCTCCCCACAGAAGAGCTCGGTCTGCTGCGTGGTCATACATATTCTTACCTGAGGAAGCTTGGTGTGACCTCACCATTCACCTTCCTGCTGCTGTGCTGCTCAAGGAGATCCACATCCAGCCTCACCTGGCCTCTCTGGCAAGTGAGTACACCTACTGACATTGTTGCTGGTTTAACAATTGGAAGTGTAGGGTTTAGAAGCGATATGAGGAGTATGATCAGAGGAACTTAAATGGGCAGGTTGTTTGAAGAATGCCTATAAAATAAGTTGAAAACGTTGCTAATTCTGCTTTCCTTGAGAATGTAAGGCCCTGCCTCTGCTTGATTTCTTCCAGCTTCATTTACATTAAATATGCCTGGTAAAACTCCTTGAAACTTTTCCCTAGTGAGAATAGGGAGAGTGAGAATACTGGTCAGCGGTCTTCAGGCAAAATGGTTTTGTATGGTAGTTGGAATAAACTGTAAGATATTCAGCTCATATTGTTGTAGCCCTGTTAGGAAAACGTGGCATTTACACTGGCATGACTTTTCTTCATCTTAAGTCTTTAAAATAAACTGTATTCAGCATGTATCAAAATGCTTTTGCATTTTAACATACACCATCCTACAGGTCAAATACTCCAGCTGCAGTTCTGTAGTAGTGTTTGCCCAAGACCATTTCAATCATCTTTGGCTGTATCTTACACAGGGCTACATGTTTAACACTTAACATTCAAACCAGTACACATTTTTAAATAGTATTAAACCTTCTTCTCTTCCTCTGTAGCTTGCCCTTCATCAGTATCTGTTGAAATAAGTGCAGATGGTGTCAATATGTTACCTTTGTCAACTCCTGTTATCACAAGCGGTCTCACCTATATAAAAATCCAGCTAGTAAAAGCTGAAGTTGCCTCAGCTGTCTGCCTTCGTCTCCATCGTCCCCGGGATGCCAGTACACTAGGCCTCTCTCAGATCAAACTGTTAGGCCTCACGGCATTTGGAAACACCTCATCTGCAACTGTCAATAATCCATTCCTTCCCTCTGAGGATCAGGTCTCTAAAACAAGGTAAGTTTCTAGTATCAATGGGGAGAGGCATGTTTGTGCCAGTTCATGGTTTGGGGGTTTTTTTATGGTGTTTTGTGCTCTGAGTCAGATCTTCCGGAAGCAAACTGTGTTCATGAGTACCTGTTTTTGTAGCTGAATTTTAACATTTATGGAATCTGTTTCAAATATCTTAGAAAACTTGCCCTTCTTGTTGTTTGTTGTTGTTTCGGGTTTTTTAACAGAAGGCAAATACAAGCAGTGCTCACTTTTTTTGGTACTGTGCTTATCTGCATATGTAAAAGGGGATGTTTCATCTCTGCAATGGTGAAAGAATACAAAGCACAGGAAAGCATTTAGGGTTGCATTCTGTGTTTTTAATGGGTAGCAGTTGTCAGAAAAACTGAAGTAGCAACATACTTCTTAACCCTGTTGAAGTCAAAGGAGTTACATAAGTATTGGAGCAGGAATAGAAATAGGACAGTGGGATGTTTTGTGGAAGTCATATCTAATATTGCTGTTTGCAAACATTTGAGAAATAGGAACTGAATGTCGTTAGGATTCTGGCATATCAGCAAGATTTCTTTTCAAAAGCTTTTATTTGGTTAGGTGGCATCTGGAGTTTATTACTTATTTTTAAAACAAAAATAAATAGACCCTTAAGGATTTAAAAGAAAAAAAAAAAGATTATCTTAAAGTCACACAAAAATAATCGGTATCTAAGGAAAGCAGATGAGTGTACATTCTTCATGTCTTGATATGCTTTATTGTGTCTTCCGGCTTAGTTTTATAAGTACCTCAATAAAGCAGTGGTAGTAATATGATAGATATATTCAGTAAACTTTGATATAATTCTGTTTTAGACATAACAGAAAACTTGCTCTTTCCTAAAATGATAAATATTTAGGAGTAAATTATTCCTAAAATAAACTGTAAACTTCATTTAAGATCTGTATGCAATTTTACCTTTTTTTTGAACAGCAGGAGATAAGGTTAGCTGTTAATTTAGAACTTGTCAGTGAAGTAACGCCATTTGTTTCACATGCAACTTAGACTGTCATCTTGTTCACAATCCTAAGTTAAACAGCATTATGGTATGTTTTTATAAATAACATAGTTAATGTGTTTCCAAATTGATTCAAATACAATAGGTTTACTTTACAAGATTTATTATTAGAAGGAATGCTGAATGATATTGTTAAAGAATAAGAGAGACACGGGGGAAATGCAGTGGCTTACATTTTTAATTGTTGTTCCAAGCCATTTTTGGAATCTCAAAGCTCCTTTTCTCTGCGCTTTTTAAATCTGGTTCATTAAGGTGTAATTCATTGTAATTTATTGTCAATGTGTATGACAGGGAAGCTGTGCAGGTGTATAACATTAATGCCAACCACTGTTGCAGTATCTTGACTTTAAGGAGGAATAAATGCAGCTGTGCCCAAATGAGGCAGTGTGTTCTTTAATGTTTCACACTTACATTTTGGCCATTTCCTTTTAATATGTGAATCAAGAAATCTTGAGAAACTTCAGTAATAAAACTTTCAGGCTCTTCATTGTTCCTGTCCAAAATCCTTCCTTTCTTACAACCTTAAATGAATGATTACAACAGCAATTACTGATGCATATTACGTTGTGGTCTTAAATTCAGTCATTTTAATTTGGTTTTCTCGGATGATGTCTGGTCATGTCACAGCAGTTTTTTGCAGTACTTGTCCTAGAATCTAATACAGGTGGTTACGTTACAGATGAAAAATAAAATAGTAAGAAAATTCTACATTAGCTCATTTTTCTGTTTTTCTTTTCAGTATTGGGTGGTTAAGATTGTTACACCACTGCCTCACTCACATAAGTGATTTAGAAGGAATGATGGCTAGTGCTGCAGCACCCACAGCTAATCTGTTGCAGACATGTGCTGCTTTACTAATGTCACCTTACTGTGGTATGCATTCTCCAAACATCGAGGCTGTGCTTGTAAAAATTGGGCTTCAGTCCACCAGAATAGGCCTAAAATTGATCGACATTCTTCTAAGAAACTGCTCAGCTTCAGGGAGTGATCCTGCAGGTGAGTACAATGTTTTTCTTCTCAGTTGTTGCTTAAAAACTTTGCTTGTGTAAATGTACAAATACTTGCCTGTTACTTTCTGATTCTGAATTTGGGTTGCCAGAACTTGCCATTGTGCATTGTCTTGCTTCTGAGTATCACAGTCATTGTACGTGGGTAGTTCTACAACAGTAACACATAGCAACCAGGTTTGTTTTGATTTCTGTATGGAATAGATACTTAGGTGAATGTTTTGAAGTTACAAGATTAGGATATGCAATATATTGTGTGTCTTACTATAGGTACTATGTCTAGATCTTTCAAAATAAAGAGCATCCATGAGTACTCTTAAGGAAAACAAATGCAGCAATATTTGGGCACTAATAGTCTGGAGGGCAGTATAAATTCCAAATAGTACTAAGTCCTAAAAATATTTACAGGTGGATGTCCACCTATGTCCCACAGTGAAATTGTGCAGTAGCTCTTCTGTTAATGAGTTGGGCTTTTGTATTTGTGACTTCACATGACTTTGCTTTCAAATGAAAGAAAACTGAACTAATATTTTTTCCTGGTTTGAGGTTGCTGATGCTAACGGAAAACACTTTCCAAAATGGCTTCCATGACTTGTTTTGCTGTGAGTTAATGCTTCAGTGTAGTCTGGTGCCTTTTGCTGGAATGCAATTAGATAAGAAGTAGCTTCCTACAGGGCAGGAGATGAACACAGGGAGAAGATTAATAGGAAATAATCTGAGAAAATATTCAGCCTTAGTCCCATTGATGGAAATAGGAGTTAACCTCCATTTTGAAATGAATGTTTGCTTTTGTGAATCACAAGGTCTGACAGCTCTACTGGAATTAGTCATGTCTTTTTGGAATGTTTGTAAGGAAATCCTACTAATTAAATGTTAAAGTCCTGTATCTGCTGAGTGTTGCAACAGTTTTTCCTTTCATAGTAAGGCTGAACATTGCACTGAACACACGAAGCGCAGAGTTTCAAGATAGTGGCGTATATGAGAATTGCATCCGTACGTTAATAGCAATACTCAATTCAATGTTAATGTTGTAATTCTATGAGAATTTCACTAGTACTTTTAAAAATATACATATGTAAGTACTTCTATTATTTCCCCTCCCCCCCTCCCCCTTTTTTTTTTTTTTTTTTTTTTTTTTTTTTTTTTTTTTTTTTTTGAATGCTGCAAGATCTGAATAGCCCTTTACTGTTTGGAAGATTAAATGGTCTCTCTTCTGACTCCACAATAGACATTCTTTATCAGCTTGGAACAACTCAAGACCCTGGAACAAAAGATAGGTAATGTCATTTGGATTGTCATGTGGAAGTGTATACAAAAATAATCTGCTGAATACTGGCTTGATATGACTGCACACAGACTTTTTCAAAAGTCATTGTTGCGAGATAGTGTGAACGTGCAGAAATCTAAAGAAGCTTTCCCTGCTATCTCTTTGCATCCTTTGCAGAGAATGCTGTCCCTTTTTTTTTTTTTGCTCTTATTAATGTGATTGAACTTTTGTGGCTCAGCTGACTTTTCTCTCAAATACTGAGAACTCAGATACCTGCTGTGTTTTCTTTCTCTGTAGAAAGAAAGCTTACATTTGGCTGTCCAAGATAAGTGGTTTTAATTAATTTTTTCCCTGTTAGAGATCTAAGTCTTGAAAAAAGAGTTTGAGCTCATTCTTGAATTTTGCTTCAAAGGAAGAGATAAATGTGTAAATCAGATTACAAAAAGCAAGCTAATTTGTTTCTGAGTGTTTCTTTGACCCTTTATAATGTACTACATCATCTTGCCTTCCAGAATTCAAGCATTGCTGAAATGGGTCAGCGATTCTGCGAGAGTTGCAGCTATGAAAAAAAGTGGCCGGGTCAGCTACATCTGTCCAAATAGCTCAACAAAAGAGTATGGTCTTTTGATGCCATCTCCTTCCCACTTGCATTGTGTAGCAGCAATTTTGTGGCATAGTTATGAATTGCTTGTTGAATACGATTTACCAGCATTGCTGGACAGAGAGCTCTTTGAGTAAGTAAAGCAGAGTTTGGCACTACATACTTTTTATAGCTGAATTATTTGGTTCAATGAAATGATACAACTTGAAGTGCACTTACTGTGAAACAGTAGTGAAAATTGTTGTCCCAGAAGCTAATTGACAGAGTGAATACTTAATATCTGAACAGGTAGTTTTGTAGTTCTAAACACAAAACTGCACTTGACATATGGCAGGTATAATTGTGTTTAAAATCAAAAATCCAAAACAGAACAGCAAATCCATGTATATACTTGCACATATGTGAAAGGTAAACTGTTACAAGTTTTTGTTTGTGGGTGTTTAAATTCAGGGCTGTTCTTGTTGAAATTGAGAGTTTGCAGTAGTTTTCACAGTACCTGTAAATCATGATCTTCATTCGTATCCTATGATACTCAGGGTATCCAGTATCTATAACAGATAGCTAAAAGCTAGGGAAGTGGTGGGGGGGATTGATTTTTTTTGAGTTGCCACGTTTTTTCTGGCCATTCTGATTTGAAAGAAACAGAGCACAAACTCGAGTGAATCTTGAACTATGAATTTTCTGGAAGTTGCTGGATTCTAAGGTAACATTCACCCTAAATACCAAATGTATACTTTTAGTGACTCCAGATTGAAAACAGGTGAGCAAACATTTCTACTTTATGTTGCTTAACCATCTCTTCTGTTTAAACAAAGCAACAGAAGAGAAGCCACATAGCTTTATTTCATGTGTATTATAAAAAATGTAACGTAAATTCCTGTATCTAGTGAAGTATCTTTCATTTGTACCATTAACACATTTCCAGTTAATAAAAGGAGCTTTGCTAGCACATAAATTTTTTTTTTTGTTGCCCTTAAGAAGCATTCATATTTTTCTACTACCTCACTGTCTCATTTAGGCACAGTCAAACATTCAAATACTGGGAAACGTACAAGTTGTGGTTGTTGGTATAAGCATGTGGAGTTCTTGCCTACATGCAACATGATGGTCTCTAGGTCCGTGACTACAAGCTAAACCTTTTCCAAAGACACTTAAGTGATACTGGAATGTAAATAATTGCTAATTCAAAACAAGCTTGTTCATTTTGAGAATCAATTTAAGGATTTTCAAATTGCAGGTCAGTTAGTCCCTTGAGCAACACCTTTTAACAAAAATAGATTTTCCAGGTACATATAAGTTTTAACACTTGAAGAACTCTAATAAAAATAGGTATTTATAGTAATATAAAAATGGGTTTCACAATTGAATTCCTGACTTTGAAGGAGAGTATGTTGTTTTCATCACAGGACAAAATGAAGGAATGCTAATAAAACTATTGTACCTAGTTTGAGTATGCATGTTCCAATACAGCCCTGTTCCTCTACCTCCTGCCAAATAAAGCTATAATTCATATCAGCCAGCATCTGGAGAAAATTATAAAATACATTTTTAATAAATACAGAAGAATTGTTGTCAGACTTCTCTGGGTAAATAATTCTTCTAATAAAAATAACTTCTTGTGTGTATTTTTCATCCTCTTTGATGTTTTAACTTTTGAAATATTTTCATTGATTCTAGCTATAACTCCTAGTTTCTCCTTCATATGATATTTAACTTCTTTCTTGGATATGTTTTCCCATCATCCCCATTTTTATTTCAGTATTTCTGCTTTGGCCAATGGATACTAATTTATTCCTTAGTTAGTTTTTTAATATCTAGTTGGAAAAGTATCTTTTCATAGAGCATGAACTTACCCAGAAAAATTTTGGTAGAAGGATTGTGTGAATATGTAGTTGGAGAAGAGTTTAGGTGTACCTTTATTATATGTGGACTTTGGGAAATTCTGACTATTTTCCCAAAGTTACGGGCGGGGTCATTTAGTCACTGAGATGACTTTTTAATGTTTTATCTTGAAAAGATTTTTGTGTGGTTTTTTTTTTTTTTTTATCAGCCATTCTCTAGACTGATGATAAAGGTAACTTTTGGTGAGACCCGTGTTCTGTTCTGGACTCTTACAGTCCCTCAGACACAGACTAACACATCCAGAAGAGGGAAGAACATTCCTCGTCTTCAAATGGGAATGTGTTATATGACAATACAACCAAACTTACTTAAAAACCTAACATTCAAGGGGCACAAAGTGTGCATTCACCTGTCTATGTAAAGGTTAAGTTAACGTAACTTACGTATGGTGTTAGGTGCTATGAATGCAGGTTCAGAAAACTTGCTTTTGTTGTTGTTTCTTTTTCATTTCACCTATTCTGAAAAAGTCTGTATGAAGAAATTACCATTTCACTACTGTACAAATACCACTTCTGAAATTTAAGCTGAATAATAGGAACTAAATTAGCTGTTGCATTCACATGCCTCGGATTAGCATTCAATCAGATAGTATTTGAATGACAGTGAGTTCAAAGGTAAGGTGGGATTTTAGCATCTCTGAGGTATCTCTGTTGTTAACTTGCATCCTGAGTGCAGGTTGAGTAAGGATAGCGAGGGTAACAACATTCAACCAACAAGGTCGTTGGTGCTTTCATTTTTTTGCAACTTCCTTAGGTAGAACTCTAATAAAGAAAATCTAAAAATTTTGGAAACATATTAAAATACTTTCAGTTCTTACAGAATTAAGTGACCTTTATTTAAAGGAGTGTGTGTGCACACGTGTGTGAACCTGGTAGCTGCAGTGTGGAGAGTTGAAGTTGGCTCAAAACTGCATAAATTATGTGACAGAAGACTGAAAATCAAAAAGACTGATTTCAAAAGTCTTGAAAAAGACTGTCAAAAAACCTGAAATCGTTTCATGTGCAGCATGCCGTAAAAGTTAGCTTATATCTCTTTTAAATGGTGTATGATGAAAGAACTTTAAACATAGAATTCAGGAATG